GTTCGATTCAATCCAATTTACTGTTGTGTGATTGAGGCAAATTCGATTCAAAGTTTCTATCCCAATGTTCGAGATTAAGGACAGCGAAGTGTAACGTTCTATAGCCGCAGATAGGAAGTCTTCTAATCATGTATATATATATATATATATATATATATATATATATATATCCGTCAAATTATATTCCTATTTCTTTATTCGTAAGCAGGTGATTACTAAAGATATCATTACGTAAGTCATACATACTTTTCTTTTTACTTTATGAAATATTTTAACACGTGCTTTCAAAAATTATATTTAAAGAGTAATTTTTGCATAATGACAAGTACAAAAAAAAGAAGTATATTTATTCTTTGGGAAAAAGAAAATAATTCTTTTATGTAATAAAAAAATTGTTTAGAATAGCGTGTCTGATACATGGAACATGCTTTTTTAATAACTCAATTGACTTAGATCACTTTTCATGATCATCAGCTCATATATATATATGTATTCCGCGAGATTGTCGTCGATTGAAAACCGACATAGATACTTACATATATCTATTTTTTTGTCTATCCAATAGTCGCCCTCTCTTTTATTTCATTCAAAAAAAAAATTAGAAAAGAAAATAATAATAATGTTTATAAAAATTAAAAAAGGAAATAAAAAAGATGCAAATTAATGGCGCAACGTATTCTGTCTCGATTTGATTTGTATGCAATAGTGTTTAACCCTTTATATACTACAGTTTACATATACATATATATAGTTTATTCTCTCTAATATTATTGTATTGTCCGGATTAAATCAAAACATTGTCCAAGGCAAATAATAATTTTCATTAATCAATGATATTTTTGTTAAACTCGTTGGATTTCTTTAACACGCGCTTTTGTAACTCAATAAGCAACCTACGACCTATTGATCCAAAAGGTCTCTTCTCATTTTTTTTCTCCTCTCTTTTCTTCTGCTTCTTATGTTTTATTCTTCTTTGTCTCTAAACCCCTATCTCTTCGGCTTCTCTCTCTCTCTCTCTCTCTCTCTCTCTCTCTCTCTCTCTCTCTCTCTCTCTTTCTTTTTACTTTGGAAATGGCTACGTTGTCAAAGACAAGATGCCGCAAAGGGTGAAGAGATGTTGGGGTTCCTTCCACGAAGCAACCAAACACCAACAACCACAGAACAGGTGCAAAAGGTTCCATCGACCCTCGACCTCGTAAAGATCCGACTTGTGTTAGTAAAACGGCAGCTGCTGACGTCGTGCGTCCAGTACACATATACCATCTAAGTTACGCGTATATGTACATACGTAGGGGAAACGAAAGAAGGAATGAGAGAGAGGAAGATGTGTGTAGGCAATTAAACGATTCATTTTCTTAATGTTTCTATGACCCTTTTTTTGTTCAACATCGATCCGCCATTTTTTTTATCATCTTTCTTTTATTACTCTTTCTCTCTCTCTCTTTCTCTCTTTCTCTTCTTCTATCTCCCTTTTTCTTTCTACGCAAATTGCATTAATTTCTATTCACTTATTTCTGATATTCATGTTAGAAAAAGCACTTTGCGAAAATTCAAACTATTCGACGCAACGACAGGATTTTAATTAATTTTCGGCACTACGAATTTCTATTTTAATCTAAATTTGTCTTTAGAGAATTTAATAATACATCTTGTTCTCTGAATATATATATGTTGAAAAACTATACGACAATATTTATTCCAACGCCTTTTGGAAGTGGTAAGTTTGAAAGATATAAATAATGATAAACAAAAAGAGAGAGAGAGAGAGAGAGAGAGAGAGAGAGAGAGAGAGAGAGAGAGAGAGAGAGAGAGAGAAGACTAAAGGAAATATTATCTAGGGTACTTTTCTCGTGGTAAAGGAAGAAAGCAAAGAAAGAGAGAAAAGAGGTTAAGTAACGTCTTCTCGATTTCGAGCGGATGTATCGATCGTTCGGTCAACGTACAGGAAGTCGAAGCTCGCCTAGAAGCTCGACCCGATACTATCGTCGTTGCTGTAAAGTGCATCGTCTATATATATGTGCCTCTGTTCTATTAAAAACGGCAGACGTGCTCTCGTAATTACTTAATGAGAACACTTCGCATTCATTGAGACGGTCGATGATAACTCTAGATCGATTTTATTGATCGCGAAAGAAAAAATAATAATACTTAATTGATAGATTGATTGATTTATTTATTTAGTAATTAATAAGTATTAGTTCAATGTTACAAACAAGAATTACAAGATAAATATAAAAAAGAAAATTGTCATTACGAAAATGTGAAAACAAAAAACAATAAACTATATTAAATTTTTAATATTGTTGTACTATCTTAAGTTGTACAGATTGTAAAAGTAATAAAAGGTATATTTATATTATTGTTCGGCAGGAACATTGAATGCAATGTATCTCTAGATAGATTGTATCAATGTACATTAGATAAATTATAATCACTCTCTCTCTCTTTCTATATATATATATATATACATACATACATACATACATACATACATACATACATACATACATACATACATACATACATACATACATACATACATACATACATACATACATACATACATACATACATACATTAAAAGATTACAAAATTCATATATCATCTCATCAACGATTATGATTCTCAACGAGAGAAGGAATTTGATGGTATATAAATACCATTTAAAATTATAGTCGATTCGCTAATAATAATATTTATATATATAATAATATTTATACGAAGTGATTATATATTAGTATAATAAAAAAAAAAGTTTGTAGTATAATAAGAAAGAGTGAATTTTTGTTGGAACGATAGACTGTGCGCGACCATGAGAGTGAAAGAAAGGTTAACATTCTCTCGAGCGAAGTCTTATAAAAACTCACTTCTATACGGATTCATCAGTATATGTTCTACTTAAGAGAAAGAGAGAGAGAGAGAGAGAGAGAGATGCCTTTGCGATCCCTTTAACATTGAGTGTTGACCCACTATCGCAGAAGGACGTTCGCATCTTTCTGTTGTCCCCGACCGTTTCTTCTCTCTTTTGTTTTTTTTCCTTATACCAGATTACCACAATACTATTTTTTTTCCTTTGCCCTTTGTCCAAAATACTCAATGTACGTACGTACGACATACGTACATATTTATGTATGTTGTGTATGTATGATGTGTCGTATGATGTTATGTGTATGTAAGTATGTATATATGTAGTTATACTACGTGAAACTTCACATTTTACGTAAATCGATCGATGAGAACTAAACTACGACGTTACAACGAATTTCAAAGGGAATTCTTTATTTTTTGTTTTTATTGTTACGCTTAACAAAGCAAAATTTTGACGAATATGCGAAACGAATAAGTTTAATCGTAATTAATAAATTAGTATATATCGAAATACCGACAAATCTTATCGTTGTTACGTTTTATCTAATAATCTCTTGTTTTTTATTTTCTTTATTTTTTTTTCTTCTTATATCATAATATACACGTAACTCAGTATAGTTATCTTATCGTCTTTTAATATTTATCCCACAAGGTTTTTCAATGAATGTTGATAATATGTATATCATGCATTCCTGATAGATTATTTTCTCTTGTTCTAGGTCCACTTTTGATGCGGTTCCCGCTTGGCACTTGGTTATTAAACATTCCAAGTAAGGTCAATGTGTATAGTAAAGCTATGTCATTGTCATAAATCATCGTTTTACATTGGAATTTCTTTCATTTAAAAAAAAGAAAAGACTATTGAAAATTATCGGGGATAAATATAATATGCATTGATGCATGGAACCGTGAGACAAAATATTTCTTAATCGACGTATGTACCTGCATATACGATAATTCTAACGTCAGTTAGAAACGGAAAAATCCTAATAACGTTTAGGAGTTAACACGAATTCGGATCAAAATCGTTAATAATGGGGCGGTAATAAAATACGGTAAGAGAGTTATATTTACGATAAAATAGTTATATCTATAACATTTTTAGTTTAATAAATGAAACTGTAATGTAACAGAAAGGAATACTACATACGTTTCAAGTTACACATGATGTATGTATGTATGTATGTATGTGCGTATGTGCGTATGTATGTACATCTCGAATCCCGTGAGAAAAGATCGCATCTCTTTCGCTGGTAACCTTTGCACCAACGAGACACTAGTCGACCCTTCGCGACAATGCATCGACCATGCGAAGGTCAAATTCCTTGGGAGTCTTATCCGTTCTCGTTTTACCTACGATCTTGCAATGCATTCTGTTGTTGAACAATGTTTTTTTATATTCGTTAAATGATGCAGTGATTATGAAATTGGGTGTAAAGTGAAAAATATTTTTTTGAAATTACTTTATCGAATAATTAATATACATAGTTAATGATCTAATAATACGAATTTAATAATACGAGGCAATAAATTAATTCTGTTTTTTTTTCTTATCTTGCAATTAGACCACTTTGATAATCACCGGCTCAAGTGATACAACATGGTAATATGAAAATGTTTGAAAAAACAGAATCTATTATTCTTTTTGTTCGAATACAATTTTATTGATTTCAAAGAAATATATTTTCTTTCCAGTTAGTTCCATTTTAATTTTACCATTAGATTCCAAATATTAACATCGTAACAAATTGATATAACAGAAATTTTGGAAATGGTCATCAATTCGATATTCCATGTTATCCCTAGATCGCTATATCCCTTCTTACGAGTCATTCAAACATTCAGGATCAAAGGTTAATCTTTCTGCGATCTAACATCTATATATCTTGTCAGTCAACGGGATCGTTAATCCTTCTTTGACCCTCGGTCCACTTAACACGCTCTTTCGATCGCTTTGCTACCATCAAAAGGCGTAATAACTTCTTTTTAAGGTTTCAATTTACGATATGAGTCGATAACGACGTCGTAAGAATAATGCGTCTAAGTCGTCGTCCTGTTTATGCCACTGGAAAGAAAGAAAAATAAGAGAGAGAGAGAGAGAGAGAGAGAGAGAGAGAGAGAGAGAGAGAGAA